ACACACACACACACACACACACACACACACACACACACAATTTATGTGTACACATCAAGGGCCAAAAACAATAGTTATATGACAGTTAGATGAGAATAAATGCAATCTAAAACAACACTTCTGATAACTCTACTTAGTTATAAAACATAAGTGCCTACTATATTCAAAAAGAAATTATAGACATTAAAACATATCTGACAAATATACAGACTCCTCGAGTACATGTTTCTTTGTGGGAGGTGAAGGAAAATGAAAGAAAAAAGAAAGAGCTAAGTAAAACAGTCAAAGTATAAAGATTACTTACACACATATACAGAGGATGCCACCTCAATACGCAATATTTTAACTTTCAGGTCAAAGCATAAAGGTTTTATCATTAGATCATATCTTAGCTTATTTAGAAGCTGTATTCTCAGTCTATGTTTGTCTTAATTCTGGCATCAACTCATTCTCACAGGAAAGATTTATCATCTCCCTCCAACAAGGTGATGATGGAAAGGATGTACTGCGATGAGGTGAGGAAACAGGGAGGACATGAAGAAGTGTTTTTTTAAGACCTCAGCCCAATAGTCATGGTGGTGTGATTAATTAAAATGAAAATTTTCTTTCAGTGAGGAGTGAATAATTTTACAACACTCTCTCATTATCAACAAATCCCATGAAAAGACCAAAAACAACAATGCACTGAAACAATCACAAGTTGGTTGAGAAACCAAAAGCCCCTAATCACTTATTTCTCTGTGTTATTAAGTTCTACTGTTGTAAAATATCATATTAAAATGAAAAATATTGATGAACCCCAGCGTTTCTCTGAGTAACAAGTTCCTTCTTTATGATATAATATAGTTTACTTTCAAATCCCACATACACTGTTCTGGCTGATAAATACTAAGTAATATGTGTTATTCCACAGCAGAAAATAGTCCCTAACAAATTAACAATGAGTTGAATAACATTTGTTGACGACTAAATTACCCAATGGTTTTAGAACACTTTTTGTTTAATTTTTTTGGTGGCTGATGCTCAGGAGACAGAGTGGGTCGTCTATAAAAGCAGAATGTCGGTGGTTTGAGACATCTGCATTCTTAAGTGTCATTGAATAAGATACCAAACCCCAAACAGCCGCGAATGTCTGTGAATGGTGTATAATTGGAAAAAGATACAACATATAGAAGTGCTGTGGTCGATAAGTCTACAAAAGCACCAAATATATACAGTCCATTTTTTTCCATGTGATTTGTTGACAAGAGGATTCCACAACCAACCAACAACCAAAAATCTCTTTGTCTCATCACTTGATAATATATTTTCCTTTAAATCTTATTTAGAGAGCAGTATCGTCTTTAGCCCAGTAAAAACACAACTGCAACTATGAGCCTTCACACCTTAACGGCGGAATTTCACACCCTTCCAACAACTCTCTTTAAAAAGACCTACATGTATATTGACGTGAACACGTTGAAGTCAGAGTCTGTGCTGCTTGTTTAACATTCCTGTCTAATATCCTCCCGGTCCTGGAGGACTCTCACCTCTGTCTTCCTGCTCTGACTCTTTTTATTTGGTCACTTACTGCCATGGTCACCCCACTCCTTTGGTTCATCTGTCCAAATACTGATATGAACAATAAGAGGACACTTGAGGAAATATTTTTGGCAAACAAAAAAAAAAAAAGAAAATCTATATGTAAATGAAATCCTTCAAGCTTGGTTGGGGGACATCTACAACAAACAGAAACACAGTAGATCTATTCCAGTAGATCCTCAGCACACATAGAACTACAGTACACATTTTAATCTAGCACACATGGTAGTTATTTGTTCAGAAGATAATTAGTGGTATGCATGTCTGTCTAAATCTGTCTCAGGATCCTATAGATTAGGATGAATCTTGACAAATACTAAAATGGTTGTTAAACCACAGCTGTGTCCTCAGCGAGAACCTTCCATTATCATCTCTCAGCCATAGAAATGAGCCTTCAAGGGTGGAAATCAGACACACCACTCAGCCCAGTGTGACACGTTATGAAGCTGTTAAAGCGAATGCACGAAGTAAACAGAAACAAGCTCAGTGGAATAAGTGGTTCTAAGAGACGATGTAAAACTGTTGGCAGAGTAATGGCAAGAGGAACCGGCTGCTTCACAGTGTTTGGCCTGGAGACTCAGGAGAAAATAAAAGCTGAATGTTAACTGAAGCCATCACATGCCTACTCTGGGCTGTCCGTTTCTACAGACTTGTCATTTCAGGGGTGATTGGCCCTCTTGACCTAATCCTCGACTACTTCCTGCGCACCTGTCTGTGCTTGGCAGGTCATTGCCTCTTGGCACGCTGAGCACTCTGGGTACACGAGGCGCAGCAGGCGGTCTTGTAGTAGGAGTAGACGCACAGCCGGGCTTGCACCACCATCACGCAGTTGTGACGTCTGTCCCGGCAGTTTTCATCTGTGATTGAGGAGGAGTGAGATGCTGGTAAAGCCAAACACACGTAAATACACAGTCA